TTGTAGATAGCCGGGAAGTCGACCACCGCGAAGTTAACAATTTTCGTCACTTCTTTCGCGACGACCGGTAGTCGGATTGATCCCAGGGTCATTGACGTTTCGCCGGAGAAACTAGTCAGCGGTTTTGGAATCGGCTCGACTTCCGAGAGGTCGATTCCCATGCGTGCTAGCGTGTTGCGGAAGATGACGTTGACCGTGCTTCCGGTATCGACCAGGATTCGAGCAACCTCTAGATCGCTTATCACCAAATCGATGACGAGGGGTCGGCATGCGGTTGGTCAATTCCACCGGTTTCAGCATCGTCGAAGGAGATTACCCCTGTCGGAGAATCGTCCGTCGGCACCTTCCAACTTGAGCCGGTTTCGGCTTTACGTTGGTAGGATTTTATTGACGAGACGGTGTCGTTAAAGTATGGCGATTCGCCGATGATCATGTTGATTTTTCGGCTGTTAGCATCGTTACCCTTCTCGTCTACTCTTCGTCCGCGTTTTTCGCCCGACTGATTTCCCTGAGGCGGGGTTTGCGTGTTTTTGTCATTCTTCGGGACGCGGTCCGAATCGCGGATGAGATCCTTGATACTGGATATATCGGAGAGCTCTTCCGCGACCAATTTTGCCGCAAGTCTGGCGCCGAGCACTTTGCAGTTCACGGTGGAATGACCACGGGTTTGGTGGAGGTCGCATAAATAATTCTCATCGTAATTTGAATTTCTCGTCCACGTGTTACCCGTAGTTCGCCCTTGTTCCGAACTGGAGTCGATGGCGTAGTTATGCGCCCCTCGGCGATCCTGTTCCTCGTGGTGGACGAATTTATCGTTACGAGAGCTTCTCGTTTTCTGCTTCTGCTCAGACGCGTTATCCTTCGCGGATGTTTTCGCCGGCTTATGCTTCTCGGACAGGATTTTAGTTTCCTCTTCGATGGTTATGAAGTCGGTGGCCTTATGGAGTGCATCCTGGATCGTCCGCGGTTTCTCGAGAGTTATCCATTTGTGGAACTTCAATTTATACCAGAGCGATTTCCTTAACGCGTCGATGACGGCTTTGTCGCTAATCCCGCTAACCCTAGCCCTGACGAGTTGGAATCTACTCATGAAATCGCGGAGAGATTCGTCTTCCTTGTGCACCAAACTCCAGAGATCGGCGTCGGAGGTTTCCGGGTTAATGAACATCGAGTACTGCTTCAGGAATTCCGAAGCCAGTCGACGGAAACTTCCGATCGAATTTCGCCTAAGTTTGGCGAACCATTCGAGCGCAGCTCCTTCTAGGTTTTCGACGACGAGGCGGCAGTAGCCTGCGTCTTTTTCGTGGTCCTTGAGCTTGGCCGTTCCATGGTGATCTGGAACGCTTGCATGTGCGCTTTGGGATCGGACGTCCCGTCGTAAGTTGGCACCTTAAGCTTTACGGGATCGGGCAGTTTGATCTCGGTGATGCGGGCCGTGAAGGGCATTTTCCGAGATTCGTACAGTAGCCGATTGATCTCGGGTGTGGCGCTGGTCGCGTGGTGAATCTGAGATTTCACCGCTTTTACTGCTGCGGCCGTTTTGGTGATGTATTCGCGGAGATCGCGAATCTCGGTCAGATCGCCAGCATTTTCCGACCTTGTCGGCGTTTGCTGCGAGTGACCGGAGATCGCTCCTCGGCGGTTTTTTGCGTATCGCGCGAAGTCGAGTTCCCCTTCGTCTCCAGTAAACGAACGTTCGGGAGAAGACTCCGGTTGAGGACTGCGAGTTTTTCTTCTCCTAGGATGGACGTCGGCGTCTTCGTCTGTCGAGTCGGCCTGGTCGCTCGTTTCCAAGTTCACCCTTTCGATGCCGTCGCCTTCGGTCTCCTGTTCGCGAATAGAAGATTTTTCTGATTCGTTCAGTGTCGTGTCAGGGTTTTATTTTTCGGAATCTTTTTCCGGTACGTTTCCCTCATCGATTCTGGGATGATCTGTAGGAGCGCCGAAATCGAGTCTCCTTCCGCGGATCTTGGTAGTTCCGCGGGGGCGAATCGCTCTGGTTCTCGCAGTTAAGGGTTCGAGTCGTTTTTCGAGCGAACCAATGAGCTTTTCCTGCTCTTCCAATTTTTTGTTAAACTCGGAAAGCATCTTTTCGACGGTCTCGGCGTTAGCGTTCGTAGCGTTGGCCGCATTCGCGTCTTTTGGTAGTGGTGTTTCAATGTTGTCGCGTTCGTTGCGAGTTTGGTTGTCACCAGTCATCGTTTCTTTGTTGGACATGTTGCGGCTACGGTGTAAGATAGATCCGACCCCCCCCCTCCTTCTAGCGCCAAACTGTGGGTGTCGAAATCCACCTACTGTCAAATAATCGTAATTAAGGAAACTTCAAGAAAACCCTAAGTTTCCAGAGGAACCGGCTATCTGCAGAACCGCACAACGAAGATTAAGATAACAAGAAAACTTAGAATTATTAAAAGATAAACGAAAATCAAGAGCAAAGAGGTTCTTATTCCGAATCTGCATTGAACTGGTACAAAGAGAGTAGCAAAAAACTTAAGAACAAAAAACCCTAATTGAGACGCAGCTCGTTAACAGAAAAACGGAAAGATTCCTAAATGCTAGTTTTGGTGGTGAGAGTTCTGAATTTCGTGTCTCTTGCTTCTGCCCTAGACCTCCTATTTATATACTCCTCGCCTTGGCTATCCGATCTTTCCATTTCGCCCAGATTTGACTAAATCGGGAATTTTCCATTCTTCTCGATCCTTCCTTTTTCTTCCGCGGAAATCTTCTATTTTTCTTAAAACCTTCCTTTTATCTTTAAACTTGACTTTTATTTTCCTCCTGCGAGTAAACCGTCAAAACGTTATCAAATCCGCGGGTTAGATTCCGTTAAGATCGCGAGATGGGTTTTTATCGCGTTTTAGGTCCTTCCAGACCGTTTTGCGATAAATCCGTTTTCCGACTTTTTACGGGATCTTTTCCTGATCTGACGTTGTTTTTAATAAATTACTCAAGTTAATCGCAAGGTTTTACGATTTACTCGATTTTTTATTAAAAACACGTTTTTTACGACTTACTCGGTGTTTTTTTATTAAAAAGCGCGTTTTTATGATTTCAACGAGAAATCTCGAATAAATCGTATAGTTTAGGCAATGTTCGGTGTTTCGTTTAACCGTTGCCGTTTTATACGATTTCCCCGAGTTCTTTCCGAGAAAGCGAAGTTTTACGGTTTTTATCGTAAAACCCGAACGGTAAGTCGGATCGAGATGGAACGGGAGATGTTTCGGCCGTGGTTTAGAACGCGACCTTGTCGAAAGACGTAAGTTTCGAATCGGGAATGCGGGAGATCGAGACGCGGAATATCCGGGAAGTCTCTAGTTCGCCCATCGGCGAACTAGATGAGTACCTCTTAGTTCTCCCATCGGTGAACTAAGCCGGGCCGGCTTAGTTCGCCGATGGGCAAACTAGAGAGCATCTCTTAGTTCGCCCATCGGCGAACTAAGCCGGGCTGGCTTAGTTCGCCCATGGGCGAACTAGTTGCGACTAGTTCGCCTTTTACGGCTTTTTCGGTTTTTTTCGGTTTCGTAAAACGATTCTCGAGTTTTATAAAACGATCTCCGGATTTCATAAAACGATCTTTGAGTTTTATAAAATGATCTTTGAGTTTTATAAAACGATTCCTCGAGTTTTATAAAACGATCTTCGAGTTTTATAAAACGATCCCTAGGTTGCGTAAAATGATTTCTCGAGTTTTATAAAACGATCTTCGAGTTTTATAAAACGATCTTTGAGTTTTATAAAACGATCTTTGAGTTTTATAAAACGATTCCTCGAGTTTTATAAAACGATCTTCGAGTTTTATAAAACGATCTTCGAGTTTTATAAAACGATTCTCGAGTTTTATAAAACGATTCTCGAGTTTTATAAGACGATCCCTAGGTTTCGTAAAACGATTTCTCGAGTTTTATAAAACGATCTTCGAGTTTTATAAAACGATCTTCGAGTTTTATAAAACGATTCTCGAGTTTTATAAAACGATTCTCGAGTTTTATAAAACGATTCTCGAGTTTTATAAGACGATCCCTAGGTTTCGTAAAACGATTTCTCGAGTTTTATAAAACGATCTTCGAGTTTTATATAACGATTCTCGAGTTTTATAAAACGATTCTCGAGTTTTATAAGACGATTCTCGAGTTTTATAAAACGATTCTCGAGTTTTATAAAACGATCTTCGAGTTTTATAAAACGATCTTTGAGTTTTATAAAACGATCTTCGAGTTTTATAAAATGATTCTCGAGTCTTATAAAACGATCTTCGGGTTTTATAAAACGACCTTTCGAGTTTTATAAAACGGTCTGCGAGTTTCATAAATGACTTTGAGTTTTATAAAACTATTCCTCATTTTATAAAACTGTTCCTTTTGTATTTTCGCGGGGAGTTTTGGTTATTAATTCCGTCGTACCGATTTTGACCTCAACAGCACCCCCGCAATGTTCCACATCCCTCTCTTGATGATCTTTTCCCGAGCATTTACATTAGCAATCTTAAATCTCATTGTTTTCCCATCCACATCGTCAACCTCCACCTTAGAGCTTGAATCCCCATATTTCCAAATCTTATTCACCACCATGTGAACCTTGGCTATGTGAGGCGCAAGATCCAGAAACTTCCCAACCACAAATTCTTCCCATCCTTTGAGATTATTTCAACTTCATACTTCTTCAAAACCCTTTATCCATTGCTCTCGACGCCCAACTCGGAATCGCCTTTCCCAAATCAACATCGTTAGAATCCTTCCCCATACCAGAACCACTCTCATCAACCTTTTGAACCACCGGAGAACCAGTCGATGAGCTCGGCTGGAGCGGCGAATCCATCTCGAAACCTCCAAACCAAATCGCCCTCAAAATCGCTTAAAGAGAGTTTTAGCAAAACAGTGCGTTTATAAGTACTTTGTATTGCCCACTCAAAAATAATTAACCCTGCCTTGATAATTCAAATAAATAATTAAAAACTCCGCACATGTATGTTCTCACAGCACCGACGAGCTCATGGACTTCGTATGCCGTCCTCCTACTTTTCGCGTCTCGTAGACCGCTCTCTGCTCTCAAAGTGTCCGACTTTAGCCAGAATCGTCCATGCCCAGCTCGTCAAATCTGGATTGGTAGACAATACTTTCTGGGGAAATCGCTGTCTTCAGCTCTACTTCAAATCCGGCTCCGTTATCGATGCTTTGCAATTATTTGACGCTCTTCCTGACAAGAACACTGTATCATGGAACGTCTGCCTAAATGGATTGTTCAAAAACGATTATCTCAATCACGCACTCAACCTGTTCGACGAAATGCCTGAACGAGATGTTGTTGGCTGGAACACAATGATTTCAGGATTTGCTTCTTGTGGGTATCCGAGAAATGCGATCAGGATATTGTTGGATATGCATAAATGTTTTATTCAGCCAACTGAGTTCACTTTCTCCACTCTTGCTTCTCTGGTTACTTGTGTACGCCATGGTGAACAAATTCATGGTCATGTTATCTGCAGCGGTGTAAGTTTGTCCAATACGGTGGTGTGGAATTCACTTATGGATATGTACAAAAGACTAGGAGTTTTTGATTGTGCTCTATCTGTGTTTCTAACAATGGATGATAGAGATGTTATTTCGTGGAACTCTTTGATCTTGTGTTGTTCTGATTCTGGAAACAAAGAAGTGGGTTTGGATCAGTTTCGTTTAATGAGAGAAATGGGGTATCAACCTGACGAATACACCTTCTCGGCAGTTGTATCTATTTCCTCGGGTTTACAGGACTTGTGCAAGGGTAAGCAGGCTATAGCTCTTTGCATCAAGATGGGGTTTCTTTCTAACACCGTTGTTTCAGGAGCTGCGGTTGACATGTTTTCCAAATGCAACAGATTGGAGGATTCGGTTAAGCTTTTTCGACAGTTAAAGAAATGTGACTCGGTGTTGTGCAACTCCTTGGTTGCTAGCTATTCGTGGCATGGTTTTGGAGAAGAGGCTCTTAAGCTCTTTATCCTCGCTTTGAGGCAGAGAGTTATGCCGGATGAGTTCACTTTCAGTAGCGTTTTGAGCTCAATGAATGTCGCGATGCTAGATCATGGATCTCAAGTGCATTCTTTGGCTGTCAAGTTAGGGTTTGATCTGGACACACCCGTAGCAACCTCACTCATGGAGATGTACTTCAAAACGGGGTTGGTTGATTCGGCAATGCGAGTGTTTGCAACAACTGATGAAAAAGATTTGTTCTTTTGGAACACAGTGATAATGGGCTTGGCAAGAAACAACAGACCATATGAGTCCCTAGCCATTTTCAGTCAATTGTTGATGCACCGAGGTCTGAAACCCGACAAAGTTACTTTAATGGGTGTCTTGGTAGCTTGTTGTTATGCTAACTTTGTTAACGAAGGAATTCAGATGTTCTCTTCAATGAAAAAGGTCCATGGAGTTGATCCCGAGAATGAGCATTACGCATGTATAGTTGAATTGCTGTGCAGGGTAGGTATGATCAGTGAAGCAAATGACGTTGCTGAGAAAATGCCTTTTGAACCAAGTTCTCATATTTGGGAACCTATTCTCTATGCATCCATTGATCTTGGAGACACAAGACTCGCTGAGAGAGTAGCAGAAAGAATGTTAGAATCTGAACCAAAGTCATCGTTTCCTTATCTTGTTCTGACTAAGTTATACGAGATGACTTGGCGCTGGGAGAACTCGGTGAGAATAAGATATGCCATGAATAAACAAAAGCTAAAATACGCTCAGGGATCAAGCAAGATCGGTATAAAGAGCAGCGTGTACTGCTTTGAGGCTGACCAGTTGCAGATTCATGGGGGTCATGATACTTGCGCAACATTGGAGTTACTGTCCTGGGACTCTTATCATCAGAGGTCTACAGAACATTTTGTCTAACATGATTATTCATTATTATTAGTGAGTGTTTTTTTCTTTCATCTACTTTTAACCTTAGGATGTTCCAATTAGTGGTGGAAGTCGATCTAATTTTCAATACCTCATTCTACTACAAAAAGTTAAATAGTATTGCCACTGTACATTGATGCATCAAGAAATCAGTTATGATCAGAAATGTTTTTGGTGTCAATGTATTAAGGGTCTTTATCAATAATAGCTTTTACGCAACTTCTTCATCTATGTTCTGTTAATCTTTTTGTCGTTTTAGTGTGCTTCCGCAGAGATCCGAGACCTCTAGAGAATTAGGGTTTTCCTAAGTTTCTATATTTTACGGAAAATCGATAGTGCGAATTTCAGTTCCCACAGTTTAACGCTAGAAGGAAAAAAGGGGGGGGGGGGGTTGGATTCTCTAACACAATAACCACTGAACGGACGAGAAACGATATACCTAACCTAAACGGTGATGTCATCTCCTTCAAGGATAGAGCAACGATCGACTCGATCAAACCTCTCAACGACCTCCCTGTCATCGAGCTGACAATCCAGAATATGGATGTCGCAAGGATATTAGTGACACCGGAAGTTCGGCTGATATCATCTTCAAAACTACCCTGGAGAGAACGGAAATCGATCCATCCGAAATCGCAGAAAACTGAAGCCCGCCAGTAGGACTCTCTGGAGAAGTCACCATGACTCTCGGCACAGTTAACCTCACGGTTCAAGCCGGAAGCATGATCAAAATCGTCGAATTCCTAGTCGTTGACGGACCCACGTCCTACAACGCGATCGTAGGAACCCTGTGGCTAAACTCGATGCAAGCAGTACCGTCTACGTACCATATATGTCTCAATTTCTCAACCCCGCGTGGAATCGAGACCATCTGGGGAAATCGGAAAATCTCGCAGGTCTGTTATGCCACGGATTTGAAATGAAAAGGTCCTTCGGCTGACGCTCCCTCCAAAGAGAAAAAGAAACCGTCTGCCATCGACTACGCTCCAGAACAAGATAAAACCGAAATCTTTTGGCAGTCGCGGGCAGCCGAAGTACAGGAAGGGAAGCACGAACCTGTGGCTTATTCTTTTTGATTCCTGCCCCAATTCTCGCAATCACAGCTGAATTGGGCATATGTCTTACTCAGATGTGCCTGAATTTCTTGAGGCACCTTTTGGCGCTCGTGAGGAGGGCTTACGCTTCGGTCTAGAGGAGCTCCGTCACCTGTGTTTGTTGAAGAGGAACGACCAAACCCAGGGACTTTTCTTATGTCGCCGCGTGTTGAACGCCACATCATCCAGGGAATTGCATACCGCGACGAGAATTGAGAGAAGTTCTTTGTTTTTAAGGTCGATCATTCCTCGGTAGGCGATTTCGACTTCGAGAGGATTCCCTGGCGTTGGTCTGACGATATAGGTTAGTTTTGGTTCTTTATCGCACTACAAGAAAACTAAGAAGTTACTACGAAATTTTACTAGGAAAATAATTCCTCGTAAATTTACAACGAACTAACTTCGATGTTACGAGGAAACAAGTTTTCCTCGTAAGGTCCTTGTACAGGTACAGGTACGAGAAAAATATTTTCTCGTAACACCGTAGTAACGTTACGAGGAAATTACGTGGCAATAGTACATTTCCTCATAAGCCCGTAGTAAGTCAATTTCCTCGTAAAGTCCTAGTAAAGTATTACTACGAAATTAAGAGGAACAGATTTGTTACTACGAAATTAGGAGGAACTGGATATGAAATATTGAATTTAAATCAAAAACATGTTTTGTACCTACATTTCCTAGAAATTTCCTAGTAAATGCTCAGATTCAAAAATTTCTATAAATACTACAATTGTGATTCATTTGAAACACACCAAAAAATAATCAGCTATAAGCTTGATCAAACACAAAAAAATGTCCGGTCCGGGAAATTTTTTCGAGTTGCAGAAGTGGATGTACACACAGAGATAATAACGGGAGGGTGATGAAAGAATATCTCGAAGGGTTGGAGACGTTTATGCATCAAGCAGATTCTACACCACTCACGCAGGAAAGTGGTAAGATGTTCTTTCCTTGTTGGAAATGCTGCAATACAAAATTAGGTCATCGTGAAAATGTTTGGAAGCATTTAATAAATAGAGGTTTCATGCCATATTATTATATTTAGTATCAACATGGAGAAGACGATGCTAGTTGTATGAATGAAGGTAGCAGTAGTAATAGCAATTTTCAGGTTGAACCGGTTGATCATTTGCGTAATGAAAATAGCTATCATCACCAAGAGGAACAAATGGTAGATTGTGATGCATTTGTAACTCATGATGATGATGAAGTTGAAGAACCTAACTTAGACGCAAAAAAAGTTTTATGAAATGTTAGATGCTGCGAATGAGCCAATTTACAGTGGTTGTAGAGAATGTCTATCTAAATTGTCGTTGGCTGCTAGAATGATGAGTATTAAAACCGATCACAATCTACCTGAAAATTGTATGGATGCATGGGCAGACTTGTTTAAAGAGTATTTGCTAAAAGACAATGTGTTTGCTGAATCTTATTATCAGTTTCAGAAATTGGTATAAAGTCTTGGGTTGCCCTCGGAGATGATAGACGTTTTCATCGACAACTGCATGATCTACTGGGGAGATGATGAGAAGTTAGAAGAATGTCGATTTATTAAGAAGCCACGATTCAAACCGCAAGGTCGAGGGCGTAATAGGGTACCGTACCAAAGGATGTGGTACCTACCAATCACAGAAAGATTGAAAAGATTGTAACAATCTGAGGAGACTGCTGGAGGGATGAGATGGCACGCCGAGCATACTCAGACGAATGGAGAGATGACTCATCCATCAGATGCAAGAGCCTGGAAACATTTTAACAATGTACATCCACATTTCGCTAGCAATAGCCGGAATGTGTATCTTGGATTATGCACTGATGGATTTAGTCCATTTGGAATGTCTGGGAGACAATATTCATTGTGGCCGGTCTTTCTTACACCGTATAACCTGCCACCAGAGATGTGCATNGATGCAAGAGCCTGGAAACATTTTAACAATGTACATCCACATTTCGCTAGCAATAGCCGGAATGTGTATCTTGGATTATGCACTGATGGATTTAGTCCATTTGGAATGTCTGGGAGACAATATTCATTGTGGCCGGTCTTTCTTACACCGTATAACCTGCCACCAGAGATGTGCATGCGACGAGAGTTTCTATTCATGACCATATTAATACCTGGTCCAAAACATCCAAAAAGATCTCTCGACGTTTTCCTACAACCACTGATAAAAGAGTTGAAAGATTTGTGGTCAACAGGGGTGAGGACATATGATTGTTCAACGAAAACAAACTTTACGATGCAAGCGATGATTTTGTGGACTATAAGTGACTTTCCTGCATATGGGATGTTATCTAGGTGGACTACACATGGGAGATTAGCTTGTCCATATTGTAATGGAATGACAGATGCGTTTCAGTTGAAGCATGGTAAGAAGACTAGTTGGTTCGATTGTCACCGTCGATTTCTTCCCGTTTACCACCCATACCGAAGAAACAAGAAATTGTTCAGACACAAAAGGGTTGTCAGAGACACTCCTCCTCCATATTTAACTGGAGAACAAATCGAAGCGCAAATCGATTACTACTGTGCTCTAGAAACAGCTCCTCGTGGTGGGAATTGGCATGTTCCGAGTAATATGCCTGATTCTTATGGTGTTCAGCACAAATGGCACAAAAAGAGTATATTTTGGGAATTGCCATATTGGAAAGATCTTCTTTTGCGCCACAACCTCGATGTGATGCATATAGAGAAGAAATTTTTTGAGAACATTGTGAACACTATATTGAATGTCCCAGGGAAGACGAAAAGGTTGGACTTACCCGATATCTGCTCAAGGAGTGAGCTACATATAAAAAGCAATGGACAAGTTCCAGTGACTGTCATCAGAAAAAAAGTTGGCGTTGTTCAACTGGGTGGCTTCAGAAGTGAAGTTCACTGATGGGTATGTTTCAAATCTCTCAAGATGTGTCGAGAAAGGGCAAAAGTTCTCCGGGATGAAGAGCCATGATTGTCATGTATTTATGCAGCGATTACTTCCCTTTGCGTTTGCGGAGCTACTACCGGCAAAAGTATATGAAGCACTTTCAGGTAATTAATTAATATAATACAATGATATGATTAATTTATTTCTATATATATGTACTAATGTGAATAATTTTTGTTTTTGTAATATATAAGGAATTGAAGCATTTTTTAGGGATCTGAGCACCCGCACTCTTAAAGTGGACGTTGTCCAACAACTTCATGAAAACATCCCCGTCTTAATCTGCAACTTGGAGAAAGTATTCCCGCCTAATTGTTTCGACGTCATGGAACACCTAGTTGTCCAGCTCCCGTATGAGGCATTACTTCGTGGACCCGTGCATTATGGATGGATGTATCAGTATGAAAGGGCCATGAAAATATTGAAAGGAAAAGCCAAAAACCTAGCAAGAGTTGAAGGTTCTATTGTTGCGGAAAGTTTGACGGAAGAAACATCACATTTCACATCGTACTACTTTGCACCGAAAGTACGTACAAGGAAATGAGCTCCAAGAAGATATGATGATGGTGGTGTCGTGCCGACATATATGGAAGACGATGTTCCAGACATCTTTTGTCAAATTGGGCGATTGGGTGAGAAATTGAAAGAGGTTTGGTGGTCGAGTGATGAAGACGTCCATAGTGCACACCTTTATATTTTTCTTAATTGCGAGAATCCATTGTTTTCTTATTTTGAAAGGTAAATATATAAACATATAAACTTATATATATATATATATTTCAATATTAAATATACTAGGAAACCACCCAGCGCGTAAACGCGCGGGAGAAAAGATGTTTTTTTTAAAAGTAATTTTTATATAATTTATATTTGTTAGTCAATCATTTTGAATCATTTAATAAACTAATTATTTTGTACGAAGATTAATACTTAAAAAATAATCTTATATAATAGAAGAGGGAAAATATAATTTGTGTTTGAAAATATATAAATTTAAATGTTATGCGTTTAGCATAACAATATTAAGTAAACTTTAATATTAAAGTCGCAGTCATTTTCTTTTATCTTTTTATATATGAGAAGACAAACTTTTAAAATTTGTTAAAATGATGGAACAGTTTAAATCTTTTAATTAAATAATATAATATGTTTTAAAAAACTGTAATTATCATACAAAGAAGACATTTTTAAATTTATG